TACATGTGCTCCCCGCCATCAAGTAAATCCATTGAACTATACTGAAAAGGAAAAAAATTAGTTAGTAAGGTAGTAATCAACGGTGACACTTATACAGACATTTGACATAATAATAGTGATATATTAAACGTGTTTATTTAGCCATAAAATTTACTCAATTATTGAGTACAAATCAAATTATTCGTTTACATATAAACACTCACACTGGAAGACCTTCAGTTTGAGTATTTTTACAGCATTCATTCAATTAAGTTGTCACTTACAGCACAGATCCTCTGGTCACTCTTCTTATTGTCAACAGCAACCTGTGAAAAATATAAACAGAATTTCGTTGATTGACATTCATACAATGAAACGGCTTGTAGTATAGTAACTTTAATTTAATAAAAACTGTTTACTTACTCTTGGCCGGCTCCCACTTTTTTCTACACGATCACGTACGTCGTGGAAGTATGCCTTAGTAGTGTCTTTCAAAATTTTCATTACTTCGTCCTCGGGCATCGTAGCAGAAGCGAACTTGCTGACAATGATGGCTGAAGGAAATATTTAAATAAATAAGGTCCCATTTCATGGACATCTTCCACTAGGTGTCTGCAACAGACAATGAATATTATAAACTAAGTGCTCCCTGCCACAAATCACTTCAAACTCATTGAGGAAGTTCAATAACTCATCTCTGCAACCTTCCAAGTAATTGCGATGAAACGTTTTGTGAGACAGGAGGTAACCTGCTAAACTAAGTCTCTGGAAGTTGCAGTATATTCCGGGTGGCATAGTGAGTGTCCTTAAGTAATACAGGTCCTAGGTACAGGAGGAAGATGCGACATTCAGTGGCCTTCCACCGACTGACTTCGGTGAGCCCCCTACATTTTCTCGGGAAGTCCTGGGGTGTCATTCCAGCACAAGTTAATACCTTCCCATCTATGTTTTCAAGCATGGGCCGGATTATGTGCATCTCCTTTGTTTTAGCTAAGTCTTGCCAGAGACTTATAAGCTTCCTCACTACCCCTAAATATAATAGGTGCATTGAGTCAACAGGGAAGCACTCATCCATATCAAGGTTTAATTCCTCAAAAACACACTGTCCACGGTGGTGACTTGACTGCATCCTTTGATGGAAGCTGTCATCAGTCGGAAATGGAAAAATTCCATTTTCGAATGTCATCCTGCCGTCAAGTTTTCTCCCAGAAACCGCGCATTTGTCACAACCTGAGCTGGCATTATCATCTACTATAAATTTCACGTCCGCTCTAGCCGGTGCATCACAGATGACGCCTGTCAAACGAACGTGGAAGTGCCTGTTCAGTCTGGTAATGTGTATGTATGCCTTGACTTAATATATCCTTTAGCTCAGATACTAAGTCATTGCATAACTCTTTATAACTCCTCGGTTTGCTAGGACTACCGAATATACCTATCAGGAGTACTCTACTGAGGAGCGGTGCTACCTAACAAGGGCCATAGCTGCTGGTTAGAAGACATAGAGATGGACAATCCGTCGACATTCAACTGCAGATCAATCTTGTTGTAGGTACTTTCAACCACAGACATCTCCATGTGGTGCCCCAATCCTACAAACATGGGGAAAATTGTGTTAAAAAGGGGAGAAAAACAGGACATTCCATTGAGAGAATAAAGGGACAAAATTCGGAAATGCGCCAATTGTCCCCTTTTACCCCGACGACAAACACTGTCCCCTTTTCAGACACATTTTGCCCTGAATCACCAGAAACTCCCCCTTTTACTCGCATATGTTCCCTTTAATCACCAGAATGTTCATCTTTTAATAATAATAATGGCTTTATTCCAAACAGTATTTGTGGTACAGGTATGGAATTTTCAGCGTTCATTACAATATTGCATCTAATTACCTCATAAATTTTATAAGGATTTAAAAATATAAAGAAACAACAACAAAAAGAAAAAAGAGAATTAAAAGAAATAAAAAAGAACAGCATTGCATTCACATATTTAAACAATGCACCACAGGATATGATATATAGAATTAGTCTCTAATAGAATATATGAGCAACAATATAATAGTAACAAAGAAAGGAGAACAAAAGCTAATGGGAACTATTTGTTAGAGTGCCGCAGTAAGTTGATCGTGTCATGCCTAACAGTTTTCTCATCACATAACAGCTGTGGCAGATAAGGTATTGTGGAGTTTTTATACTTGGTAGTCCTGGCATATAGCTTCCTATAGTTGCTTCTAGTTCTACCAGATGAAATGCAAGGAGAGAGCTGCGTATGGAGAGGGTGTTCGGGGTCTGACAATATAGAATTCGCCAGTTTCTTACATGATATTATATGTCTATCCACAATTGTGTTAACCAGTTGGTTTAACGAAATCCCACTTCCCCTACTAACAGCTTTTAGTGCCCTATGCAGCGAAGCAAAGTCTTTCTTAAGTAGTCCAGGGAAGATTAATGGGGAGCAGTAAAGAGGGATGGGTAGAATACAGGAATTGACAAACTGAGAAAGCAAAGACTGCTTTATACCAGACTGCCTAAACTTCCTAACGTAGAACGTTAAGCGAAACATCTTTCTAGTCACTAGCAAGATGTGAGAGGACCAGGAAAGATCGGAGGAAATACTCAGTCCAAGGTACTTGACATTAGATGTAGTTTCAACCTCTATGCCGTCAATGATAGTGGGACCATGTGAGCTAGCTAGTTG